ATTGTGTTTCACTGTATGCTGAGGATGGCTGTCATGGTGAGCTAGCAAACCCTTCTGTAATTGGCATACAGGAATTTTGCCAAAGTCGTGGAAGCAAAGTGGTTTGTTACTTGCCTTTGAGGACTTGAGAAAGATCTGTCTTGGATATCCTCTTGTTGACCTTATCAAGTTAACTTTCATGTGTTTAGAAGGTCATGGAGAAAATCATTAATATTGGGTTGATTTGATGGCTGAAAGGTAATAAGTATTTCCTGCTTATCAGATGGGGTTTGAGAGGACTTTGAATAGCATGATTTGTTTATCTTTTGCAATCGGTACGGCCCTTAGCGAGAGGGATTTTGTATTCCTGATTCAGCTGGGGGAATAACAAATGGTTTGCTCTCTATTGAGGCTTGGAGGCTCCGTAGCATAAATAGCAAAAACATCAGGAAATTCTGAAGTCCAGCTCCCAGCTAACTTGGCCATGTTGTGGGCCTTGGACATCTCATGCTGTAATGCTTTATGACATGAACAACAACAGATTAACATCCCCTGTTACTGGAAAGCTCAAAGTAGAAAATCCTAAGTGCATGGAGGTTGATTGGGTGGAAAGCCAAATCCTGTGAATGTGGCTTGGCACAGTGGGGATTTCATTGGCCTTGGTGGGGCTGGGCTTGCTCTCTGTTCACACGAGGCATCCGCGAGTGCGGAGATGGGGCACAGCCCGTGCGGGACTGACACCGCTGCTGTCGGAGGCTTTTCTTGGATTGCTGTGTGCTGAAACCTTGGGTGGCATCAGCAAAATGGTCTTTCCCTCACCCTGTGTCTGGGATTTAACAAATAGGCGAGTCATTCTTTAAGCTGAAGGATTGTTGTAAAGCCATTTAAAATGAAACTACTCATTGTGTAAGAATCATTTGGCAAAAACTCACTGGAAAATCTCCCATGTGGACTTGCTGAAGACAGATGTCGTTTCTGCTTCTGGTGGCTGTTTGGAAAGGAGGTAGGACTAAATGCACCTACCTTGAATGATTGGACAAGGACAACAGAGGAGGGAGAGCTGCTTCTTTTTAGGTGTGAGGTGTTTCTGATGCATCAGTGGCTTGAGGTGATAGTTGTTTTTTAAAGGAATGCTGTTTATTCTCTTGCATAAGCTCTGTATTGCGAAGTGTGTTTTTAGGATGTCTTTGTAGCTGTATATTATCACTGAAAGGTGTAGTGACAAACAACTAATAAATGGATAAGGAACTGATGGAAAAGAGAAAGAGAGCAAGAGTGAAAATTAAACCAAATTTGATGCTCTGGTTTAACGACTGGGATTTTGCAGATCTGTTGCCAAAGAATGAGATGGAGTTATGTGAAACCACTGTCCTGAGACGTTGAAGTTGTTGTGCATAGACAGAGGCCCATGCCAGTTGGATAGATGCAAACCAGACCATAATACAACTTCAAATCCCACCAAAATGCTGGGGGAGTCCTGCCTCCCGTCCCTGGAGAATGTCCCACAGGGCGTGGTGCTGGTCAGGAGGCAGAAGGTGCAAGCAGCTGTTCCCTTCAGCAATCTGTTGTGTGCAGCTCTGGATCCAGTCTGTGGGTTTTGCTGCCTACTGCGTGGACACGTGGATGATCAGATTGAAAGGCCAAAAAAAGATGGTGGTCCCTTTGTGTATGATATCTTTATAAGCAGCACAACATATCAACAGTAAAAAAAAAGGAAAAAAAATCCTTTTGCTTTGGTGAACAGGAGTGAAAGCCCTTAAGTTTAAGGGACTTAAAGGCATTTCTGCATTTGTTTTTATTATTGTTATGAAAATATCTTTGGGGCTGGATGTACTTGGTTTTAGGTGACCTTCTTGACTGAGTGCTGGTGATCGGTTGCTGAAGGAGACATATGTTACTAATTTTTTTGAGATTTAGGGAAGAGAGTCTCTCTTATGGTATATATATAAATGGACCTTTTTATCTCAGAGAAGTTCGCTGCTTGAGGGAGTGTGCTCTGTAGGGCAGGGATCCTGTGAGAGTGGATTTCAGCAGTGATCAAATAGGTTTTGTCTCATGAAATCAACACTGCATGAAATTTTGTTTTCGGGTATTGATGCTCTCTGCTGCAGGCCAGATGCAGCCCAGGCTGGCACAGCTAATTCCCCTTGGCCACACTCCAGCAGAGCATCCTGTTTCCACAGAGTGGTTAAGCATGAGCTTATCTTTAAACAGGCGGCTAAATCCGGGTGGTTTCACTGCTGCTCTGGACCACAGCTTCTTGGCCAGGGGACAGGTCAGCTGCAAGGGGAACCTGTAGTGCGTTCTTCTTCCAGGATTTCTTTGCCTAGGTCAGAGCTGGGCCTGTTGCTGGAGAAGTGATGGACTGATACACACTTGGGCTGACTGTATTTCGGGGGTCAGTGTCACCTGCTGATTCCTGCATCAAGCTGCTGCTGGGCTTGGATGAAGTGTTGGGCTGTGGGTGGTGCCAGCCATGTCCTTGGCTGGGGGAGGAGGAGATGTCATCCCCCTGCGCTGCCAGGGGGATGTGCCCTTCTTGCAAAGCTTAAATAGCTGCTCTTAGGCAGGACAGTGGTGACAAACATGCGTGGGAGTGTTGGAGATGTGTTTGGGGCTGAGCACAGTGCAGGATGCTCCGTGGGTGCTCCCCAGTCCACCCAGGCACTGCAGCTGCGGGCTGGGGCCTCTGCAGTGTGAGTGCTCCCGAGACAATTAGAAGAGAATTAAAACATGTTTTCGAAAACAGATTGCCTTTTCTGTTGGGAGTTTCTAAGAAAGCAAAGCAACATGCCCTTCCCCCCACTTCAGATCCCACCTGTTTTGGTTTTTTTCCTAGAAAAATGTGAAATTCATTAACATGTGGTGAAAGCAATGTAACGACGTCATCTTGATTTAAAATCTGTTTTAAATCTTAAAATGACGGAGCCAGAATTTTGACTGCAAATAGTCTTGCTTTGTGGGCATGAGGCAGACTGTCAGCATGATTGGAACATCTCTGGGCTTGGTAGTTTAACATCCCTTGCCACAATGGCATTTGAAAAGAAAGCAAGAAGACATGTAGGAAGGAAAAAAAAGACATTAATATTATTTCTGTCAAAAGCCAGGTCCTGCTTGTCGTGGTGCCTGGAGAGAGCGGAGCGAGCAGAACTCAGCTCCATGCTGAAAGAACTCTGCCAGCATCCCACTGTGCCATCCTACCGTGCCTTCTGGGCAGGTGCCATAGCTGCTTCTCCTCTCACATCCTCAGCGTTGGGTCACAGCTTCTGGCTGTGCTATTTTCTGACAGTGGGAAATATTGTAACCCTTGTAACTTCTGTCAACTCCATGAATGTCTGTTTAGACCTGGCATCACCCTGAGCCTCCCTTTGCCCAGCCTGTGCCCATGCCTTCAGCTCCCTACGGGCTTCTGACAGCAAAAAAGAGTTAAATCACTTTCCCTCCAAAAATCCAAATAGAAGAATCCAAGCATTTAATAACGGCATCAAAGGCAATCGTGCAGCATCACTGTGAACCTCATTGCTGTGGCCACTGTGCTGAACGTGGTGTTTTGGTTCAGGTTGCTTAGTGAAGGTCTGGTGCTGAGCAGCACTGCCGGCCTGAAGTTTTTCCTCCCGCTGCAGGCCTGGTTGTCCCCTTGATAATTGAAAAGTTCTTTTGAGGTTTTGACTTTCAGGGAGTGTATGACTTCGAAGTATTTGCTGGTATGAGATGATATATGCAGGAGGCTGAAGTGGGGCTGTTTCATGTGTTGTGGCCACTTGCTCTTATGTGTTTTAGTCTGGAATGGATCTGAAGAAGGATTTATTGGCCTTTTTCATTTGCATCGCCTGCTCCCTCCCCACACTGATACATTAGAACACTTGCTTGCAGGCCAACAGGAGGACAAGAGTCCCATGTTTCTAAATGATTTATTGTCCTGTGAAGGGAGTCTGCTACCAAAATGTTGTCCATCTGTGAGTTTGGAGTGGGCAGCGTGGATGTTATGGTGCAGATGCTCCACAGATCACAGATGGACAGATCATGGAGCGATTTTTGGGCTTTCATACTGTTTGGATGTGAAGTGCTTTAGGGTGCATGCTGCCCAGGCTCCCCTTTGGGAGGGCATCTTGAGAACATCTGTGCTGTCAGGTACTTGGACCTTGGGCAAGTCAGGATGACTCATGGAAGCAAAAGTGGGAATCCTGTTTTGATGGTTTTTGAGAATAGTTAAGATAGGAAACTAAACAAAAAGTTTCTGGTAATATTTTAAGGCTGTAGTGAACTAAGGTTAATTTACTGCATTGGCCAGAAGAGACAGATGAGGTGGCTGAGGCAATCACACCCCTGCTGATCACGGTGTGCAGTGGCACATGACTCTCACCACTCCTTGTGATCTCTCCCCAAGCCGTGGTCCAGTTGAGGTGGACAGAAATGCATTCACAGACGATCACCAGGGAGCTGGCTTCACTGAAGGGCAGAGCTGGTGAAACAGTTAAGCTGAAGAGTGCCTGTGACACTTTTATTGCAGTAGATTTCGTGCCTGTGCAAAGCTCAAGCCCAGTCTGCTAAGGGCAGCACAGATAGTTTTTCCTTTGACTTCTCCCTGGAGCTAATCTGGGGAATCAGTGCAGATGCTGAGGGTGATGCACCAAATCCCTGAGATGGGGTTGTCCATCCCCATTCTCCCGTCCATGTCCATGTAACCTGGTAGAGGTTTTGCATATGCAATGGAGAACCTAATTTATGGCCAGCATGGCTGACCAGGATTAAATCAATGCAGGGCCAGACAGAAGGTTTTATTCAAAAAACCCCCGTTTGATTGCAAAACCCCAAGTCTGGTTTACTGTTGAGAGCCAGCTCTGGGTAGAGTTACACGCTGAGTGCCTGATACCGTGGCCACGGCTGTCAAGTGAAGGGCAGCCAAATCTGAGTCCTCGGCACCACGTGCCCCTTGGCAGGTTGGTGTGCAGTCCTGTCCAAGAGGCTTGTTGTGTTCATGGTCTGTTCTTTTCTGTCTCCCAACTCCCCATCCCTCTCAGATGTTTGCTGCCGAGGAGAATGTGGATTTTCGGATACACGTGGAGAACCAGACGCGAGCGAGGGACGATGTAAGCAGGAAGCAGCTTCGGCTCTATCAGCTCTACAGCAGGACAAGCGGGAAGCACATCCAAGTGCTCGGCAGGAGGATCAGTGCCAAAGGAGAAGACGGAGATAAATATGGTAAGAATATTTACTGGCATCCCCCAGATTGAAGGTCAAAGGCTTTAATCCAGCATGTTGTGCAAAGAACCTCTTGAGAGAAAAATAATAAGAGCAATAAAAAGCAGAATAAAAGGAAAAAAACCCTTTCCAGTTTAAGAACATGAGGTTTGTTCTGTTGGAGCTGCCTCTCAGCTGCAGGCAGTTCCCAAAGTACTGCCATGCTCCAGTTTATTAGTGTATGATGGTGCTTGAAGAGAAAAATCTTTTTCTGCTCAAGGGATGGGTTAGGGTGTGTCTTCTGCAATTCATAAATGATACCCAAATTGGTGATTGCGGAAGTCCTTTCCCCATGAACTTTGGGCTTGAGTTTGGGCAAACTCAGTGCTTCAGTGAAGCACTCTCATGTTTTCAGGTGGAGGGATATTTGGTTTGAGCTGAAGTGAAGCAGTCCTTGGGAGCTTTGAGAGAGCTCAAGTTGAATCTCTGGGCATGTGGATGTTACAGGAAAACAAATACAGGCGCTAACAGCACCTTCAACTCTTCTCATTGTGATTTGCACACAAGCAACGTGCTGGAAATGCTGCTTGAGGCCGAGTGACAAAAAAGTCTGTACTTCTGGTGTGTTTTGAGATGGTTGTGGTTGAGATGCTTTTGCTCAGGTTGGTTGTTGTGAGGATTTTAGGGCTGTTCAGAACACTCGTCCTGTTTCTCTTTGGGACGTACAGCCCCACATGTTCATGTGTTGCTGCAGAGGGGGGTGTGCACATTGATGTGTTCAGCTGGAGAGGAGGAGACTGAGGGGAGACCTCACTGCAGTTCCAACTTCCTCGGGAGGGGCAGAGGAGGGGCAGGGACTGAGCTCTGCTCTGGGGGGACCAGGGACAGCAGCCAGGGAATGGCTGGAGCTGTGTCAGGGCAGGCTCAGGTTGGATCTCAGCAAAAGGTTCTTCCCCCAGAGGCTGGTTGGGCACTGCCCGGGCTCCCCAGGGCAGTGGGCACAGCCCCAAGGCTGCCAGAGCTCCAGAAGGGTTTGGCTGATCCTCTGGGGCACAGGGGGTGACTCTTGGGGATGGGCCTGTGCAGGGCCAGGAGTTGGACTGGACAATCCTTATGGGTCCCTTTCAACTCAGCACATTCTGTGATTCTGTGACCATTCATGTGAGATTGCTTTCATATGCAGCACTGGTGAGGTGGAGTGCAGAATCTGGGAACAGTTTTATCCCTCAGGAAGCTTCAGGCCTGATGAGGCACTGGCTGTGCTGAGCACAGAGGGGAGCTCTGGCCACTGCTGAGGCAGAGGAGCAGAGCTGTGCCACAGGACGTGACAGCCAGAAAGTACCTGGCTGGTGTGAAGTGAACCCCCACGGCCCTTGTGTGGAGTCACCCCATCTCTCAGGGAAAGCCCTGCCCTGAGGTCTCATCAACCTTGTCCTTTGTCATTCCCAAATTTCCAGATAAAACAGGAGGGGAAAGTGCCACTTGGCTGCTAATTATTGTGTCACTTTATTGCATTCATTCTCATAAGGTTTGATATGTAAACGAATCGCTGGGTGCTGCTGCTGCCGCCCGGCAAGGCTCCTGCCCGCGGTGGCTGTCAGGTGCCGTGATGGAGTTTTCCTCTTCGTGAAAGAAGGCGGCATTTACAGTGGGTGCAGCAGGGAAGTGTGCCCGGGAGCAGCTGACAAGTGCTAATTTATGTGTCAAAGCCCATCTTGTCCCCTTCATACATATGCAATCGTGTCTGAACAACAAATCGGCGCGCAGGAGCGTGCTCGTGACCGATGGCGATGCTGCACCATGGCAGAGCCTGAGATTTCCCGTCTGGGGAGCTCCTGCTGCCTGCATCCCTGCTCGCCACCAAAGCCCCCCGCTCCTGGTTGCTGGCGTCCTTCGAACAGCCCGGAGTGCTCCGGCCTTGGGGGCTGTTTGCCGACACCAGCCCCGGCTCCCTCCCCGCGCCTCCTCATCAAACTCCCCGAGGCGTCAGGCTGCGAAGCCTTCTCGTCCCTAGCCCTGCTGAAAGGTTATGGAAATCCGCTCATCGACCTGCTTGGCACGGGGACACTCAGAGCATGATAATCGGGGAGACAGTGAGGTGGGACACGGTGGTCCAGGATGTGACCACGCAGAGCTCCTCTCTGGGATAATGGAGGGGAGAGATGTCGGAGTTACTGGAGTGAGAACCATCTGTGTTACAGCCAAACCTGGACACAAAGGCAACGACACAGGGTTCATTATGTGCCAGGAACCCCTCCCCCCGAGGCATTATTATGGAGTAACCTTTGATCAAGACCAGAGAGAGGCTTAAACGGGATCTCAACAGTCGCAAACTTTTGATCCACATCTCCGTCTTGCCAGTCGGGTCTGCATCTGGAGGAGGACACCTCTCCTCCCGTGCAGCAGATGGCTGTGTGTCCTCCTTGTCCTTTTCCTCTCCTTCCCTCTCTGGCTGCCTCCCTGCTGGCACGGTGTGCCAGAGCCAGGCCTCACTCCGGGGGTACCCACTGCCTCCTGGGTTGCATCGTCCTTGCAGACAGTGCAGCTCCCGCGGCTTCTGCACTGCCTGACCCCTGTCCCTCCTGGCGGGGAGGCGATGGTGGGGGTGTTGTGGGTTGATGGCCTAAGGATTACGGCTTGGGGAAGGCTTTGGGAGGACAGGCAAGAGCCAATGTCTGAGAAAAGGCAAGAGATGTGAGAAAAGGTGCCCGTGAGCTGGCTCCAGCCCTGAATTCTCTCAACAACTCAGTCCCATTAAGAGAAGATAACATCAGGCGAGGGCCACACAGGCTCAGGGTTCTCGGGGAACTCTGTCAGGTCCATAATGCTCATCACCAGCCATTAGCACTAGCCAGTTTTAAGGATAGGGGAGCTAAGAACGTTTTAGCACCTCTTTCCCCTCTCTTCCCATACATTCGCAACTAGTTAAAGAACAGTGTCCAAGTGAAGAGATGCTTTTTTTCTTTGTCTTTTTTTTTTTTTTTCACATACCTAACTTCCAAATGGCTGGCATGGGAGGGTTGTCCTGCCTTTGAAGGGAGGTTGCTTTTATTACAAGGTTTTATTGACTTCTGTAAAACTTCTCACCTCTTGATTGCAGAGAGTGCCCAGAAAAGAAGGGAGGGGGCAGATCTCAGGCAGGGAATTGCTCCTTTCCAAGCAGCCACCAGGAGTACGGCAGAATGAGCAGCCAGCCCTGGCTCAGGGAGGAACGATGCTGCAGGGCTGGAGGAATCCCCCTTGAATGTTTTATCCAGGTGTGCAAATGCCATGTGCAAGGAAGAATACATGCTCTGTAATGTATGGGTTTGCTGGCATAATAATAATTCCGATGTGTAATTTTTGGTTCATGCGTTCTTTGGGATCAAGATCTGGCCCCGTGTGTCAGATTATTAAATGGCAAATTAAGCCAGTTAATAGAATTAATTGAGTCGATGTAATCCTTTTAATCAGATGGATTTGATCCCTTCTCAGATGAATTAGAATCCATCAACAGATAAGTCAATTATTGGACTAAATTAAATCTAATAATAATGCCTGCTGCTCACAGCAACACTAATTAATCTAAATACACTTACCTATCTCCCAAGGTTGTTTTTTTTTAAAGGCTTAATTGATGTTCCTAAAGTGCTCTGAGATCTTTAGATAATAGACGATCTATGTGAGCAAAATATTATCTCTTAACAGACTATAAACTAATTAAAAGACTGATCTATTTACAGATTGCATTTTTACTTTAATCTCTTCAACCTATTCAGAAGGAGTTTGCACTGGCCCAGAAAAACAATATTCCTGTTATAAGCTTATTATTACTTTACAGGTTCCTAAGTGGTCCTTTCATTCAGAAAATGAAAGGGGGAAGGGGGAAAAACAACCATTAAAGTGCTGACAAAAAAAAGAAAAGGACCTGGAACCTTTATATTCTACCTCTGATAAATGGTACAGATAGGAAAGAGAGAGATCAGTGACCTGAAACCTTAGATCCTTTCATTTATTTTCATTTCACAAAAGGCAGAAGACATTCTATCCTGTTTGTTCACGATCTGTGTATCCGGTGCAGTTGGGGAGACAGAGCTCTCTTGGTTGGGTGAAGGCATTTTTTGCCTTATTTGTATTTCACAGCCATGGGATTTTTGGTTTAATTTGTCCCCAGCTACTGCTGTCCTGCGGGGCAACGAGCAGTGATAGCCATCGGCAGAGAGGGGAGAGGTGTGAGAGCCCTTTAGTGCCCTCTCGGTGGAGGTAACCTTAATTTGCTTGGATGTCCTGAAGGCTGGGATGTGCTGGTAGGTACATTACTAGTCAGCGTGTTCCAGGTGGTATTTTGTCCATGGACTATTCCATCACAATTTAAAAAGCACTCTTGGCTCCCCCAGAAGGTTATAAACCCTCTATTTTATAAACCTCATTTATATGCCTTCTAGTCTACAGCATAGAGGCTGTGTTTGAGGACACCCTGTGCAAGGGGCGGTGCACAGGTAGGATATCTCTCCTCAGCACCCCAGTGCTGGACCCTGAGCCAGTGACATCCCCTCAAACACTCCCCCTGGGTTCAGTGGGTTTTAGCCCAGGACTCCAGAGATGCTCCTGAGACAGGAGGTTTAGGGGGGTTAACAGACCATGGTTTGCCAGCAGTCGACACATCTGGGGTCAGGTAGATCAAGGGGGGAAGGAACCCCAAGAGGTTGTGTGCGTGCAAGATGCCAGGTGTTACTTGCACATGTCATGGGCGTGCTGGGGACAGAACACCCCGTACAGATGTGCTTTTTTGGGTGGTACAGAGAAAGCAAGGAGCTGGGGAAAATGGGTGACTCCTTCCTGGGGCCACTCCAGCCTGGGTGGTGTGCTCTGCAGCTTGCAGCCCCCACCTTCTGTTCAAGCTGGAGCTTCCATGAGATGCCAGTGGACCTGCCCATGGAGAGCACATTACAGCTGTCTAGACATCAGCCACACTCCATCCCGCCAGAGATTTCATTTGTGGTAGAAGTGGGCTCTGTTCCATGAGGAGGTGTAATATGTGT